TATAGCTTTAATACCATCAAACAGAGTCCTACAATCACTAACGAATATGGTCTTTTCATATGTTAATCGTTTCAGTTCTTTTACTGCTATGTGTAATGCTGGAGCCTCTGCAGAATAAATAAATTAATATATTTGAAGTTGTAAAATTTGAAAATTTATAAATAACTAAAAAAATCTAGATACATAGTAAAAGTTGCCTAATAAATCCGAGACTCTAATATATTTGATTTTATTTATACAATCTCTTTTTATATATATTATTGGACCGACAAGACCGATGTAATATCCATATTAATTAAACCCTACAATGCAAATACATAATACAAAAATGACCACTTAAGCACATCTTTTGTTCTCTTTATCTTTTCAAACAAAAACAGTAAAAGAAATATTTTTTTTTGCTTCCAGAAATGGCAGTTATTTACAGCAGTAATTTGGGTCACCTTCATGGATTTAATTTAGCAACAAAAAATGTTATTTGCTGAATTTTTTTTCTATTTTAATTAGACACTCTTTACTTAATATAACTGTTATGCTGCAAATATATATCGTTGTCCTTAACATTTCCTATTCGTTTACTCACATGTGTAGGTATGAATATATACAAAAGAATAAATGTATATATTTCAAATGTGCGATGAGTCATGACAACAGCTTTTTCAACTGAGAAATGGAGGACACATAATGCAATCTGATTGGTCGAAGATTATGAGGACCAATAAGAGTCTTCAAATAAGGTAAACAGCATATTCTGTTTCAAATAGGACCCACCAATTTCATAAAATATCTACAAATCTCAGATTTTTTTTTCCCTATACAAATCTCAGAGATAAAAGAAAAGGAAATGAGAAAATATACCAAAATTATTGGAGGCGTAAGATAACCAGACCATTAATTTTATCATAAGGAACTATGTGTATATATGCATCTATATGGGTGAAATATATTCACATTGCTTCTGTTCAAACATCGTCGTCGTCTGTGTCTCTCCGTTTATAGTGGCCCGTCAAAACTTAATACTACTGTATTATGCGTTGGACCAAACATTTTATGCTCATTTCTTTAAAAATATAAACATTGATCTTTTAACCAAACCATCTATTAGTTAGCTACTTAAAAGGTTAATATATAAATCTTACATACACACAAACACACAAAGCTCTTGTACATGTATGTATATGTACCTTACCTAC